CGATGTACAAGGTGTATAAGACAGTAAAATGGTAAAATAAAATCTTTGAGCTCTTCCAAATCAGTATAACTTGACACCGGAAATTTAAAAGTAGTCTCTTCATTATTAATCCAAGTAACCAGTTTATCACATTCTCCTAGTCGGTGGACAAGTCTCCGCAAATATTCCAAATACTCAGATGTATGGTTGATATCATCCATATTATCAAGAAGTTCTAAATATGGCGTCATTTGAATAACTTCATTATTAAGGTATGCTATTTTAGACAATAAATTGTCTTCCATTTCTCCTTTGAACGTCTCATACGCAGCTGCATTTTTTTCAAATATTGGTTTAATGTCTCGCAACCAATTTACCGTGCGCGTATTGGATGCTACATGTTCTGGAGTTAGTGACGTCATTTCTAGAAGATTTGAAATTATTTCGATTTGTCTCATTATTCTTTCTTTTAGGGCTTCAACTAAAACAGTTTTAGCGTGTAAAATATAAACTCCTTGCTCGATCAATTCAGCTGCATTTTCAGGTTCTTTCAGAGCTTTGGCTGCAATTATTTCAAATTCAGTGCAAATGCTATGATTTTCATCCATGTGAGTTCTGACTATACCCGCGATAATATCATTTATGAACTCCAATGCTTTTCGTTTCAGCCCATCTACCATTCTTAATTGACAAACGACGGAACAATTAAAATATTCGTTTTCAAGAACAGCTGTTATTTCAGAATCTATACTTTGAAAATATCTGATTTTATCACGACTTTCTTCAAACTCTTCAGCTTCTTCTATAAATTTATGTAAAGCTGCTTTGGCTGGAGCTCCATACAACATGTTATATTCTGCCCGAAGGCGATCCAAATACTGAAGAAGCGGCTCAAATACAACATCGAGCTGTTTCTGCAATCTTTCATGGCCGTCTTTATGTAGCCATTCGTTGTAATGTACTGGCAGAGCATCGTGTGAATATGGTATTCTGAGATACTGTTCTATAGGCATTAATCTTTGCGATATATGAGATATAGCATCTGCAATATCATGAAAGGCACCATAAACAGTTTCAAGGGATGGATCGTATATGAATTCGCCGTCAAAATCAAGCGCTATATTGAGAATTGGAACATACTCAGGATTTTTCAAGTAATCAATGATAGCATCAATCGATCTCCTCATCAATTCTTGTATCTGCATAGATATCATTTTGGTAGCACATTTCACGAAATCTGGAATTTTCTTTGGCTTCATTCCTTTAAGGCATCGTGGATTTTTTAGCCATTGCACTAATATTGCATACCATGTACTGGAAACCAGATAGTCTGCACGTTTTATTTCTTCCATAACTTTCGTTTGAAATTCTTCCAAATCCATAGGGCCTCTGGCTCTATACTTTGCCAAGTTTATAATAAAAGGTGGAAAAGTTTTCTCGGATGATTCAAGCACTAGTCTAATAAAAGGATGCAGTAGAAGAGAGCCGTCTTGAAGTTTCTTCCGGAATTTGATCATTTTCTCGTAATTAGGTGTTACGCCATCAAATTTGAAATTGGGCTCAACGTATCTTTTACGGGAGACTCCGGGAACGTCGCGAATAACGATTCTGACGGCAAGGTCGTGAAGGTTTCGGTTCCAGTCTGCCTTGCTTTCATTTATCAACTCCTCCATGATTACCGGGAACGACTGTCGCATTTTATTAGGTATCAGGCCACAAATTTTGGTTTCCCATGACTTGAGCATGGGCGGGGGTTGTATTTTGTCAGCGCATTCTTTCAGAACTGCTATGTGCCTGCACTGCGCGATCTCAAGGCGGTCGCGCTCTCGGCGTTCTAAAGGCGGACGAGCTATCTCCACCTTTCTCTCAGTGGCTTTCTCTTCAAGTACTTTTCGGAACTTGGCTTGTTTGTCCTGCAAATAATATTTTTCATTACTCGCGAGGTGCCATTGGCTAACATAAAAACAGAGCAATACCATCTAACTACGGCAGGTTAAATAATTACATTTTACATAGTCACAACAAACTACAAGACAACATAAACATACTCATCTATGACGACTATGGCGCTACAAATACTATGTTCACATACCTTTATTCGATTGTACGGTGGTAGAGGAGTAAATGGTAATTTGTCCATCTTGTGAACATCTGGTATGGGCAGCATAACTGGAACTCTACACCCATTTTTGGTTTGTAAAAGTTTTCTTAGCTCGCTTTCTTCCATTTTGTTGCCTTTCTGAACAATCACATAATACGATTTAACAATAAGTTTTTGGTAAACAATAAAACTGAATATAAACCGTATTTGTAACAAAAAACACGTTTATTGAAAAATGTACACAAAATTCCTTTTCTTTGAAGAAGTCAATACAATTTCCATGACAACGGCGACGCGATGGTTATTTGACGTAATTAAATAGTCAAAATCAAAAAAGGTTAAAAAAATGCAATTAGTGTGAATGTCTTGGGCACTCATGTGCGTGTCTTACTTTATTGCAGAAAATTGTATGAATTTTCGACTGAATAAATGCCGTCGCGTCTGCATGATTTTATTATGTACTATGGCAATGCTTTTTAAATGTGTAATTTTAACAATTTTGCAATATTTGACAGCGGGAATCGAACCCGCAACCAGGGAGTTGTGTCAAGCGAAGTGCGAACCACCGAGCCATCCAGAATGAAGACTAGTTGACTAATAATATTATTAGCAGTTCTCACAAACCTACATTATTAATAATAAAATTTTGCTAATATGGACAAGATTTAAGAGGTATTTGTATTTTTTATTAAAAAAAACTTAAGTCGGGGTTTTCAATAAAATAAAAGTATTATATTTTTTTAAGTGAATTATATTCGCACAAACAATAAACAGATGCACAAATATAATATTATAATATGTACATACTTACTTACATTTATATATTTTTCACAAAATCCGTTCTTAAAAAAAATATTTACCTAATTTAACTAGAATATTCATCACAATAAAATATATGACCAGTTGATAATTTTACTTAGATATTGATGTGAAAAGATAGATAGGTAAGTAACGTATTTGTAACTTTATCAAGAGAACTATTTAAAACAATTTACCTCTTTCTCTATTTCAGGAGTTAGACATACATAATATTCCAATTTTGTTTCCACCTATATTTCTGTTTTCCAACAATTTTTTGACATTTGGATTTGAATAATAAAATGAGGAGTGAACAAAAACTATTGAATACATTATCCTTACCCACTTTTGGTAATCAAGTTTTCTAAATCTATATTCAAATGATGAATGATGTTGTGTTTTAAAGTGTATTTCAAAAAATTCATTACATAAATATTATATAAGTTATGTATTTAACTATTAACTAAATCCTCTTGTAGTTATGTTTCATTATAATTAAATAGCAACTGCAAAAGAATGAAAAATTAGGCGATTTGTGATGATTTTTTAGACATTCTGAAATTATGAGATTCTGATATGAAAAATTGATGACGCGATGATTAATAATGTCAATAACAATAAAACATTTAAATCAATTGGCACAGATAAAATTGTCTTTTACAAATAATGCTTGGATTGATAACAAAAGGTTATTCTCTCCTTACTGACCCACCTACCAGTTTTCGTCAACATGTTTGTTGTTTAAAATATTTGCAATTTAACGTACTAACATTATTTAACGTTTCAAAATAGGCTAACGGAAGAATTTAGAAACGCAAATCTATTTCGATCAAATAACGAAACCATTTTTCAGTGGAAGAATTAGTATTAAATGACTTGATCAGTCTTTATTCGATGTTAGAGTACATATTTTTTATCAAATCATAATGGCACTACTACGAAACCTAAGTACTATACCATACTAGGAACGATATATTAAACAATTTCATTTTAAAAATGAAACATACAAAAATATTTTTATATCCCTAATTAATTAATATGAAGCGCATTTGTACATAATGGTTCAATACAATTCAATTCCCTTAAAACCGATTACATCAATGTTAACGAGAAATAATAAGAAAAAAATTGCAACTCTTTACAAACATTAAATTCAAAAGAAGCCTTATTTTCAATTATTACTTACTTATGGTTTTATTTATTTATTTGAAATGTTATTCATTGCAATTTTTTAAAATTGTATTTTGTAGAAATTAAATATAATTATAATTTAAATGGCCCAAAAAGTGCATAATTTAGTCTTTGTTTAGTGGAAATAAAAAAAATATACGAGAGTTTTAAATGATTTCATATCAACCAAAAATTCATTAATTTTACTATGAATAGTGCCCGATCTTTATACGCATTTTTCTCTCTAAGACCAACAAATTAATAAACATCCCTTCCCCAGATTTTGCTTATAATAATATTTCACTGTGAATACATTGATATCACAAATGACCACACATGGCATATACAAAACAAAATATACATATAAATAGAAATAAAAGGCTCCTTCTTAAAGGTAACAGTGTAACAAACATCCCATGTGTGTGTAGCCCATCATCCGTGAACACGTAAAGTATGAAAATTATTATAAATTCTAGATATAAATCCATGTGATAAATAAGTAGGTATAAAAATAAAATGAATCCTTATAACGGTTTACGGTACACGACGGCCATTTACATGATTATATTACATCATATAGTCAGGGCCTCTGCCTTTGCTGCAAAATGTTTAAAACGTGTAAGACTGTAACCCCCTTACTAATAAAAAGTTACACAGTTGTTGAACACTGTTTTAAAGTAACATTTCCATACTAAACGTCACTTTAAAACACTGTTCAACGAGCGTGTAAGTTTTATTAGTAAGGGGGTAAGTAATTAACACCCGTTTTCACCAACTATGCTTGCTTAAGTGAAGCTGCAAGTCGAACACACAGCGTTGAATAGAGCTCTGAGATTGGTTCGTGTGTGACCCTGTGCGTCCACGCGCACTGTGAGACCTCATAATAATGTTTGTGAATACGAGCGTAAGATTTTCTGAGTGTGTATGCTTAGATTACTTGTGTTTACAAGTTCCAAACGGAACTTGCGGTCAATTATAACGATTTTGATAAGAAGCTATATAAATGTGTGACGCGAATTCTTCGACGCGACGTACTGATAAGGGATTGAACTCACCCACTTTAACCGAGACGAAGTTTTTTCTGTATGACCAGCGTCTTAGAATTAGGTGATCTTTTTCAATTTAGATATTCGTGAACGTTTCGACTTACATACTAATAGAATGATAATATCATAACAATTCGGTATCACAGCAAATAAATAACGATCACCTAGACTTGTAAAGCTTATGCAATGTCAAACACCACGTACAGTCAGCGTTATATAGTTCGTGACACCCAAAGTGGCCAAAAAGTTGACAACACAACCTTATTTCATAGGTAACAAAGACGTGTTGCGAACTTATTGGCTAATTTGGATGTCACGAACTACACTCAACATCAAATAAACCGCACCTTCCGCGACGCGAACTTTAATGATTTTCTTCTGACACAATCATGGTGCCCCAACAAAATTGGTGTTATTTGAAAGCCCAATAAATATCCTTAAAGAAGAACTCATTTAATTTCTTCATAAATGATTAACATATACCATATATGTGACTTGAAAAAAGACCTCACTTTGGGCTCACCTCTGGGATCAATCAGACCATGGTTATAAAACCAAATAATGATCACACGTATCCTCTTTAACAGATGGATAGCGATTAATCCCAACTTGACAGTTTTATAGCCATAAAAGTTGGCTCAAGCGTAACTACCTATTTTTTGAAGAAGTGACTCTGGATCCTTCTAATGACACATTTTTGGGGTAAAAACCTTTCCTTTAAAGAAATGAAGTTTAGAACTAGGCTTTTAAATGGTGCCTATATTGGTGGGAAGTGGGGATGCATACGTTTGAAAGTGCTTGTCGCGGGAGGTGCGATTTATTTGATGTCGAGTGTATTTGACGCTGACTGTACCCGCTCCCGTGTCCATGTCAACATTGTGTAGCAAAGACAAGTAGCCCGAGGTACTTATCTAAAGTAGCGAAGGTTAAGCCCGTAGCGTGGAGGGCCGGGGGTAGGGTCATACGCTGGAGCCCAGGAGCCTTTCGTCCGCCGAATGCTCCTCTTCATCAGACCCTGATTTCTCTTTCTTGATAGACTGGTAACGCACCTTGAATGATATCACTCGATTAACAAATAATCCTGAAGGTAGTTGTAAAGTTGTAATGCTGTCATATTGGCGCGGCAGATACGAAGGTATTTATAATTTTTGTTTTGACAAATAAAAAAAATCTTTAACACCATAATTTAACGTTAACAATAATAAATGATAAGTACTTGAAATCTTTTCATTACATTTACGCGAGTCAAGTCATGTCTGTTTATTTTTACATGATAAGCATAAGTACCTAGGTAATTTAGTTAAAAGTTCATTTAACTCTACACACGTAATTTACTTATCTTTCAAACAGATCTCTTATTATTTACCTTAGTCTTGATTTTAGAATTAACTCCTCTTGGATGGTACATAAGGAAGTTGTCTGTCACCCAAAATATTAAAATCTGAAACAAAAATTACTATGGTAATGGTTTTCTATTTACATAAATTACACGTCACTGTATTAAATACATACAGAACAATCAAAAAACAGCTTTGACAATGTTTATACTGTGCATAATAAACATCTGTGCAAACATAAATATCTAAAAGAAATAGTGTTAATTTTCAATTTCATATTAAGCAAAGGTTTTCATTTTACGATTTTGGATGGTAGGTATAGACTGGAATGACGTATTTTCGATACGTAATTATAGGTGTATTTATTGACAACAAAGTCCAAAGCATTCAAATGAAAAAGCGTCATTACCGTGTCTGCCCTACATATTTTTGTTCTTCAAAAGAATATTAGTCGCGACAATCACGACGCAGTTTGCTAATCGGTAGGTCACGACACGATAAACACTCTTAAAATAATGGGTGGTAAAATAACATCTGTTTTAGTACAGTCGACAGCACATCGGACTGCGATTTTTGTGGCAATATCACACCTATTCCAATCATTATAAGATGCTAGTGTTTATCTCTAATGCCGTCGTGTTTTAGCACTTACATTAACAAAGAAGGGTATGATTACTAATACTACAGCGAGCTCCAGGTGCGCGTCGGTCACCGGCGACAGTCGCAGCGTGGAGAGGACTTCCACGACTATCGGCAGCCGCAGAACCAGCGCCAGTACTGACTTGGCGAACGTCGCAAGCGGTTGCAATATCGCACCTATCACAACTACACAAGATATAGTTCAGCTTGATAGTACTTACATTAACAAAGAATGGTATGATGAGCAATACTACAGCGAGCTCCAGGCGCGCGTCGGTCACCGGCGACAGTCGCAGCGTGGAGAGGACTTCCACGACTATCGGCAGCCGTAGAACCAGCGCCAGTACTGACTTGGCGAACGTCGCAAGCGCAGCGTACAATATGCATTGGCATATCCACGCTGAGCACATCGGTGGTTTCCCTATAAAATATAAAATAATTAGATGACTATTTTAAATGACCTCAGTTTCAGTTTAGTGAATGGTGAGAGAAAGGTTACTGTAAAACTTCTTCTACCCACTAAATTGAGATCACTTTACACTAGCAAGGCAGCCCAAGCTACTAAACAGTGAAAAACGCATCAAAATCGGTACAGCAGTTTTTGCATAATGCACACACAGACAAAAATAAAAATAAGACTTGGGCATGTTTTCATCCTAGAACTCCCTTCAATGTAAAAAAAAATATTTTGTGTACAGGTTTTTATGGTGTTATAAAATAATAAAAGTATAGTTAACAGATATGATCTTTTAGAAAAATAATTACATACAAAGTTTGGTTAAAGTTAAGGTACTATTAGGTATAACACTTACCATATTCACCAAAATTAATTAATGGTATGTCATATGTTCTAGCATAATATTGAGCAAGTCGAATTCCGGCCCATATAATCAGTAGGCCCAATGTGGAGTCCATCATAAAATTAACAATATACCTGATAAGATAAAACAAATGAGCATTATTGGGTCTTTATCATGGCAATATTAAAAATTACCAAAATTAATTAAACTGTTTTTATTTTGAGTCAATAAGGTGGCATAATTATGCATAGTGAAATATTTTTTTTTAAAATTGAAAGTAAATTATTACGTATCTGACAGTGTGCATTTAGAGATACATTCGGACAATCCGCGTCATACAAGAATAATTATACAAAATTTGGGATGAAAAAACAGCACTATCAACAAGAAACCTTTATTTACTATCCATATTACTACAGATAATCACCAATATTCTTTAAAAAAAACACCGAAAATAATAAAAAATATTAGCCGGTGCGTAGACGCCTGTCAACGGTCTGACATTATGAATATTACTGTTAAATCTGTGCAGCCTGTAGCGATTCTATACTGTGTAACACAATCTGTAGTATTTGGTCTAACGTAATATTAAAAAAACATTTAAAAATGGTTTTTGGTTTCTTCCCCATATTTTTGTTTTGGTCAACGTATCTTTAAATGCACAATGCCAAGAAAAGGGTTAAAATAATGGGTGGTAAAATAACATCTGTTTTAGTACAGTCGACAGCACATCGGACTGCGATTTTTGTGGCAATATCACACCTATTCCAATCATTATAAGATGCTAGTGTTTATCTCTAATGCCATCGTGTTTTTAGCACTTACATTAACAAAGAAGGGTATGATGAGATGGTACTCACCTGCCATGTAACATGTAACGTAACCAACCTTCAAGTGAGTACGGCTCGTCCACGGTCATCACGTATTTGGCTGCGAGCTATTGGATCCCACAGCGAGCAGCCTTTGTGCTCGCAGTGATACCGCCCCACGGCGGGTCGCTGCGATCTCCCTGCGAACCACGCGCGAGCAGCGAGCAGCGGGCTCATGCCTATGTACTCACTTGATACAGTATCTGATACATTACATGCTACACGGATAGATGAGTACCCTGCTCTACAGCGAGCTCCAGGCCCGCGTCGGTCACCGGCGACAGTCGCAGTATGGAGAGGACTTCCACGACTATCGGCAGCCGCAGAACCAGCGCCAGTACTGACTTGGCGAACGTCGCAAGCGTTTGCAATATCGCTTCTATCACAACTAAACAAGATATAGTTCAGCTTGATAGTAGGTAGATACTTACATTAACAAAGAAGGGTATGATGAGCAATACTACAGCGAGCTCGAGGCGCGCGTCGGTCACCGGCGACAGTCGAAGCGTGGAGAGAAACTCCACGACTATCGGCAGCCGCAGAACCAGCGCCAGTACTGACTTGGCGAACGTCGCAAGCGGTTGCAATATCGCTCCTATCACAACTACACAAGATATAGTTCAGCTTGATAGTACTTACATTTAACAAAGAAGGGTATGATGAGCAATACTACAGCGAGATCGAGGCGCGCGTCGGTCACCGGCGACAGTCGCAGCGTGGAGAGGACTTCCACGACTATCGGCAGCCGCAGAACCAGCGCCAGTACTGACTTGGCGAACGTCGCAAGCGGTTGCAATATCGCTCCTATCACAACTACACAAGATATAGTTCAGCTTGATAGTACTTACATTAACAAAGAAGGGTATGATGAGCAATACTACAGCGAGCTCGAGGCGCGCGTCGGTCACCGGCGACAGTCGCAGCGTGGAGAGGACTTCCACGACTATCGGCAGCCGCAGAACTAGAGCCAGTACTGACTTGGCGAACGTCGCAAGCGCAGCGTACAATATGCATTGGCATATCCACGCTGAGCACATCGGTGGTTTCCCTATAAAATATAAAATAATTAGATGACTATTTTAACCCTTAACCACTGACGTGTCATTTTGTTACACTAACACTGACGTACGTACGGCATACGTACGTAACTTTGAAGACCTCCTGATGTATCAATAGAGCGTAACTTTGGTGAAATTTGAATTTAAATTATTCACACATGTTTATATTAAACAGAGATAGTAAAATAAACATAGTAACATTAATAGAATAGTATGATATTGGTGAAATCCTCCAGATGTAATAAAATTTAGACAGGCATTTTTTTTAAATCAACACAATAATATTCGACAACACTAGGAACTTCTATTTTGGCCATATTAAAGATTAATAACAGTTTTAATCAGGAAAAAATCTCAATAGCAATAATTCACAAATTAAGTCACTTTTTAATACAGTTCATTTAGGAAGGTTATTTTCTACAGTCTTTCTTTGTTTGATGACCTGGTCACCAGTTTGCCGTGCTTCAAACTAGCTAGAAAATATGAAAATATGGTATACAATCTTCAGAAGAAGTCAAATCCAAAGCCATGAACTAAAGCTTATTTGAAAGCCCAATAAATATCCTTAAAGATAAACACATTTAATTTCTTAATAAACGATTAACATAAACGCGATATACAATAAATGACTTGAAAAAAGACCTCACTTTGGGCTCACCTCTGGGATCAATTAGACCCATTTTTATGGTTATAAAACCAAATAATAATCTCACGTGTCCTCTTTAACAGATGGATAGCGATTAATCCCAACTTAACAGTTTTATAGCCATAAAAGTCAGCTCAAGCGTAACTACCTATTTTTTGAAGAAGTGACTCTGGATTCTTCTACAGACACATTTTTGGGGTAAAAACCTTTCCTTTAATGAAATGAAGTTTAGAACTAGGCTTTTAAATGGTGCCAATATTGGTGGGAAGTGGAGATGCATACGTTTGAAAGTGCTTGTCGCGGGAGGGTCGATCTTTGTGATGACCAGTGTTACCAGTGTAGTTGCATGATGTCATCAGACCATCAGTGAAAAAAAAATCGCCTATTTTATTTGGCAATATTTCGACATTAAAGGATATTTACTATTTATCTATGTATTCGTCATTAGAGTGAATAGCCCAGAAAAATAAATTAGTTTTGAAAGGCCTTAATATGGCTTTTTTGTAACTTTTTGGACTTTAAATAAAAGCCGTCATTATTGTAAGCCATTTTATTGATATTTACCTCAAAGATTAATGTATTTCATTTTATTAATAGGACATTGTCGTTTTTTTTTTTAATATCCGGTATCCGGCCGGATAGTGAGTTACTATCCGGTATCCGGCCGGATAGTAAATTAGGGCCGGATATCCGGCCTACCGGATAGTTGCCGGATATCCGTTTCATCTCTACTTTATATATAGACGACCAAGTAAATAAATTAGACTGCTAACAATTAAATTTTTCTATGGACCAACATACAAAAGCGATGTTGAAAAAGTTACACTAACACTGACGTTACGTACCACATACGTCGGGTGGTCTAGCTCTCCTACTTAGGGACGTGCTACCCATCTATTTTCTCCCGTCGCACACGCATCTCTGGCCACTAGGAAACTACCAAAAAGGACACGCAAAAATTCCCGCACAAAATGAAGTTTTGAACGAAAAACCGTTTGACCGACGTACCACGTACGTACGTCAGTGGTTAAGGGTTAAATGACCTCAGTTTCAGTTTAGTGAATGGTGAGAGAAAGGTTACTGTAAAACTGCTTCTATCTACCCACTCAATTGAGATCACTTTACACTAGCAAGGCAGCCCAAGCTACTAAACAGTGAAAAACGCATCAAAATCGGTATAGCAGTTTTTGCATAATGCACACACAGACAAAAATAAAAATAAGACTTGGGCATGTTTTCATCCTAGAACTCCCTTCAATGTAAAAAAAAATATTTTGTGTACAGGTTTTTATGGTGTTATAAAATAATAAAAGTATAGTTAACAGATATAATCTTTTAAAAAAATAATTACATACAAAGTTTGGTTAAAGTTAAGGTACTATTAGGTATAACACTTACCATATTCACCAAAATTAATTAATGGTATGTCATATGTTCTAGCATAATATTGAGCAAGTCGAATTCCGGCCCATATAATCAGTAGGCCCAATGTGGAGTCCATCATAAAATTAACAATATACCTGATAAGATAAAACAAATGAGCATTATTGGGTCTTTATCATGGCAATATTAAAAATTACCAAAATTAATTAAACTGTTTTTATTTTGAGTCAATAAGGTGGCATAATTATGCATAGTGAAATATTTTTTTTTGTTGTAAGAAAAAATATAAACTGATCTATACATTATCCACTGATAATGTAACTATTAAAACTTTATACAATACATTCCAGAATAATTAATTAATATACAAACCATGTACAAGTGTTTCCTGTAAAGTGTGGGGACAGCCAGACATTGGCTGCATGTATAAGTAGCGCCCCAAGTCCTTGTTTAGACGTGTCATAGAACCAAATTAGCCAGGGCCTCCTTGCATATCGGGGTTCACAGAATCTTTTGCCTAGAATAAAAATTGATTTTTTCTTCAAATAAAAATTTACATTCATTTAGCAAATTACAAATTCAAATTCTTGAAAAAATAATAGTGTCCGACCGAAACTAGTTTTACGACCGAAACCGAAACCGAAAACGAATTTCGGCAACGGTGTCTATTTCGGCCGAAACCGAAACCGAAACCGAAACTTCCTTACAAGGCTCATATTTTGAGGGAAAAATAAAGAAAACGTTATTATAATCAATAGGTAATCAGTCAGTCTTTATTGTTTTCTCTTTAAATTGCATTAAATTTGAACATAATAAAGGCCTTTTTACTCTAAAAGGTATCAAATTGTGTATTAAAAAGAATTCTACATTTTTTTTAATTACTCTCAATATTCAGGACATCTACCTACATAAACCGTCCCATGGTCGGGTCTTTTACCTTAATAATTTCTCAAAACAAAACTGGTACAGGGTGGCCCAGAAGAAAGTTCACTTTTGAAAATTCAAGGAAACGAAAACTGTAATTTTTTATAGAACTTTTACTATTGCAATTTAAAGGAAATTTAATGCAATTTATTTTTAAATTTAACTTTATTGAATTACATCGCCCAGGAGATTTCCTTGACGCTTACAACATTCGATCAACACACATCAAAATCTTGAAAAGCGTTCGTTAGAATTACCTCGAAACCTATTTTCAATTTTTTGCCGAATGCTCAGCTTCAGTTGCTGCATGGTTGTTGGATTATAAAAGAACACTCTATTCTTAATGTAATACCACAAAAAAGAATTTTCTGGAATGAGATCAGGGCTTCCTGGGGGCCAGGAGATGTCACCCCTGCCTGAAATTATTTTTTTGTGGGAACATGTCTCTTACCATCTAAATGCTCTCATTTGAAGTGTGACACGTAGCCCCATATTGATGAAACCAAGTGCTCTGGTCACAGCCTTGCGAATCTTGCAGGTTTGAAATCAAAAAGCATTTCAGCCTAATAGTATAGCGCTCTCAAAAATTAATCATCCTTTCAATGCAACAAACCAATTAAGCAGGGGTAAAATCTCATTGCCTCTAAGAAGCGCTAATCTCATTCCAGCAGACTTCTTTTTGTGGGGTTACCTTATGAGCAGAGTATACTCTAATAATCCAAAAACTCTGCAGCATTCATCCATCCTGAATCCATTTCGAGGTAACTCTAACAAAAGGCTTCCAAAATTTTGATGTATGTTGACCGAATGTTGTAAACGTCAAACATATACGATAAAATTTATAAAAGAAAGTAAATTTTAAAATAAATTGAACTAAATTTCCTTTAAATTGCAATAGTTAAAGTTCTACAAAAATGAACAGTTTTCGTTTCCTTGAATTANGTGTTTCCTGTAAAGTGTGGGGACAGCCAGACATTGGCTGCATGTATAAGTAGCGCCCCAAGTCCTTGTTTAGACGTGTCATAGAACCAAATTAGCCAGGGCCTCCTTGCATATCGGGGTTCACAGAATCTTTTGCCTAGAATAAAAATTGATTTTTTCTTCAAATAAAAATTCACATTCATTTAGCAAATTACAAATTCAAATTCTTGAAAAAATAAATAAATAAATAAATTTTAATAATAATTATAACTTAATTACAATTTAAGGCTAATTAGCAAAAAATGTTGTAGTTCCTAGTTAAGTAATTTGTCCAATTGGTCAATAGTTCATTTTCAATTAGTAATTACAGAAAAAGTGTACATAATATTGATTTAATTATTAAAATTATAAAAAACAGTATTCAGGCGAATACCAACATGAAAGAGCAAATTATTTTAGAATCTATTAGTTTAACATGTACCATTTTCAAGCGAAATATTGTAATACAAAAGGTGCATCTCAATTAAACCGACGGTCATGCCGCAAATGGAAATGTTGCAATGATGGAACAAATTAGGCAGCACTTTGAATTCAACCTTGAACTATTGAGAAGTGACTTACCAATTAAGCAAGTAAAAGCTAACACTGCTAAAAGGAATTGCATGAACCACCCATAATTATTGGTCAGTGCATCCTTCGGGCAATGCAGCTCAGATAAATATCCAGAACTATTATTCATGTTTCATTTCTTGACTCTAAAAATTAGTGCTAATGAATTCCCATGCAACTGCTTCACTTGTATAATTTTGTTTAACTATCAATATATCTATGAAATCACAATCGAGAAACTTCGAAATCCATTTGAAAACATATGTTTTTAGTAAAAAAACGATTAAACTCGAAAATCACCAAAGAAAGATTACACAAAAATCTGACATTTTTTTTTTTTATTAGCTGTCATCAATGTCAACTAAGACTTTTTTGGGTTCGATTCTTCTTGAAAAGGCACAGACATTATGCCATACAGCATACAGCCAAGTCTCCAGTTTTAATTTTTCTTTCTTTCCCTTGAGTTTCAATAGTTTTAAAAGTAAAGATGTGGCGCGGCCGAGACTATTTTAAGGACTTCATAAAAGAAAATTTCAAAAGTTTTTACCTACATAAGTACTGAATTTTCATTAATACTGTAAAGTTACATCAAAATCCGTTCTGTAGTTTTTGCGTGAAAGAGTAACAAAGACAAAGTATAGCCTNAAACATACATCCATCCATCCCGATCCATCCAGACATCAAAACTTTCGCATTTTATGATTTTAGTAGGATGACGCGAGAATCGGACCCATTTTTGACAGATTCGTTGCCAACATTATGAATGTAACAAAAGGAATGTTCCATTAATTTTAATGATATCGATTTCAGCCCCCCCTAGATAAGTTGCATTTTTTGATCGAATCAAAAATCGAATCCGTTGAAACTCCATATAAAAAAAGGCTTTTCGATCATCTTTCAACATAAACACTATATATTTTGCATTTTATCTAGGGAGGCTGTATGTGATTGTCTTTTTACTACTTTTACACTGAAGTTTTGGAATAAAATAAATAAATAAAATATATCCTTGGACATTTTACATTGCGCCCCTAGTCTTAAACTAAGCAAAGTTTGTACCATGGGAAATAGTTAACGGATATAAAAATCCATAAATACCTACTTTTTGTAAAGTATAGAAATAAGTTTAAACTCGTACTACAAAACAAACTAACGAGTACTCGTTCCAATTTGTATTTAAATAGTAATGTTAATAGCACCAAGAAGACTGCATAGCAGAGATTCTCCATTTTTATTGTCTAGTGTCTACGAGTATCCTATTTTATAATTAATTATTATTTTTTATCATGGCACAGAAAGCCGTTTTTTCAACACATCCTCTATGAGGGTGTGTTCTGCCTTCGCAGATGTTATGGATATGTAGTTTCGGTTATGTATACGGTTACGGATATAGGAATAATATTATACCGGTTCGGTTTCGGTTACGGTTACGGATATTTTTTTTATTTCGGAAATCCGAAAGTTTCGGTTACGGTTACGGATATCTGTGCTTTAGAATGCAATTTGCAATAGTTGTCCTACACCGTTGATTCATGGCCGCACACTACATCGAATAAAAAGTAAATAAAAAACTAAAATTGATACTAGATGGTATTATAAAGGTAAATCAGGCTGTTATGTCTTTACATTATAATGCTAATTACTAAAAAAAAAACAATTTAAACTGCCTACATCCGAAACTATCCGAAACTTTTGAATCGGTTACGGTTACGGTTTCGGATTTTTTTTTCGGATATCCGAAAGTTTGGGTTACGGTTACCCTTAACCACCTGGTTCTGCGGATAAACGCCCGCTTTTCCTAAGCAAACATCAATTTGTTTTTGATAACAAAAATGACCATTTAAGTGTCAGACATCAAAAATATGATTGAAATTTGACAAATATTGACAGATGGAGGGTTTCGTATTGATTAAGTAACGCAGACGGGCAATAAGTATTATAGGTCCTTAATCGATATTTATACATATGGATGTAGACTTAGTCGATCGATTATTATTAAATTCAGCTGGGGCGCCTGGGGCATCACTAGTGTCAATGCCGCGTGCGTCGCCATTTTTGTCGCTGAATTTATTTAGTCGAAAGTTATTTTTTACATTGGAATACTGCTATTTTAATTCGCATCAATTATTGTCAACAAGTAGTTAATAAATGAGTGCCTAATTAATTTTCGCCCAGTCAACCTACAATTTAAAGTAAGTACCTGCATGTTTTATCGATTTGATTTCGCCCGGCATTGATTGTAAAATGAAAAATGTTTTGATCGAAGTAGAGTAAGTACTAAACTTAAATTAATGTTGTTTTGCCATTGGTTTCAACCTTTGCTTTATGATGGGAATCTTAAACAACCCTCCTTTCGAAAAAACATAACCGAAGGCCATAATATTAAATTCCCTAGGGTTAGACGGAAGATTTTCATAGTTACATATTTTTAACTTTATTGGAACAAATGTATTACGTTTACGTCTTACTTAAGTATTAAGTAAATTACGAATTAAGTAAATTATTTTTAAGCATGCCTGTTAAAACATTTTGGTGATCCAAGATTTGTAGGTTAAAATTTGCCTTTTGTCATGAAAGGTTTCTCTAATTTTTATAAATGTAAAACATGGTACAAAATGCACTCATTGCGCGGTTGAAATTCCTGTTTTAAATGTTAAATATCAAATAGTTTCATTTTCTACAAACTAAATTAAATAAAAGTTTCTAAATAATGCGACAGTATTCAAGTCTTTGTATTCATACCTAAACTGAAATTATCCATCAACAAAATGAATAAAGAATACATGTTGTGCTAAAGAACATCTCAGGAAGTAACACTTTCTAAAATATTGTGTTTGTATTATGTAAGTCCAATGTTAAAATATCGCAACATTTTCATCCAAAAGTTACTAGAGCTATTAAAAAAAATAAAGACTCCACTCAACATCTTCTAGTTAACCCTAGAGTAGTCGCGCCTTTCCGTGAAACGTGAGTGCTCACGTATGAGTATTTTGCCGCCCAAACTTAAAGTCCGGTTGTGTGTCAAATAACAGTTTAAAAATATGAAAATCAGTTAAAAATGATAGAATAAAGCATACACAATTAGAAAATAACGTTTATTAAAGATTTGTGGTTAAAATTTAAAGAAAAAAAAATATTTTGAAAATGTTAGGAAATATTTATTAGAAATCTTAGAAACACTATTGTTTTTACCTACATACATCATCAAATATTAAACTTACTAGCACACTTAAAGGTTTTCCTTACATATGACATGTGCTTCAACAAAACAGGCTTGTCACATGTGCATTTTTAATGTGCATTGCACAGTAAATTTGCACAACTATTGCACCCTTGGTACATCATCTTCAGATTCTGCCGCTGATTGTTCTATAACAGTATTGTAATGACTATGTTTACTTTCTTTATAACTTTAGTAAACATTTTCCACTAATTTTAGTGCACCAGCTTCTTCGAAATCCGACATCTTCCTTGTTTTTTAATTTTTTGTATTTAACGTGAATTTTACCGAAAACGACATGAAATAAATTAAGCACTAATAGTAATTATCAATGTTATGACGTCATTAATGTCAAAATAACATTATACGCAATGAATACTAATAATCTTCAAACTACACTTAAAACCAGACACACAAATTTTACTTACGTCAGTAGTCGCGCAGTGAGCAATTTGCCGCAAAACGTGACATACGTTCAACAATCGTTCTCTATTGCGGTCACCTGCGCACTAAATTTCTTCTAATTTCTAATACATGGAGGTGAAGTATGGGGAGGCAGCTACTGAAACGCTTGACTTTAACAAACGCATCGTGTAGAAAATAACTCGATTTTTTTGCAGAGGGCGGCAAAATGCTCATAGCGCGAGCACAGGGTTAATTGCCAGGGACCTAATAAGAGATATACTAGGTAGCTACATATTAAAAAAATAAAGTGGCTTGCAATACAGATCTCATATTTAAAATTAACACAATATATTTTAATTGAGAATAATTATACATAATGTATATGGGCTCATCACTATCTGTGGTGCCAATAAACAAACAACATCCAGCCGTAACTTGTTGATGGAAGCCAATGTCAATAAAAAGGGAATAAAAAAAACTTTTGCTTCTTTCTTCAAATAGTCACAAACAAAAAATAGGTAGGTATATTATGTATTGGATTCTACTGTTTTAAAATCCAAAAGTAGGTAGGGTGATNAATGTATTATATCTAGTTGTAGTAATTAATATTAAACTTTCACGTTGCATATTTGAATTAATTTAAAATAGTTGTGGTAATCGTTAAATACATATCAAATCAAAACACTTTATTTGACATCATAGGTGGTGCACAGTTCATAATATGACAAAGGTATGCAGTAACTCCATGATGGGCCTCCAATGGTCAAATGGCATATGAAATTAATCAATGTCAAATTAAATTATTCATTAAATAATGTCACTGATAATAATAACATACATTAAGACCAAAATCAAAACTATACATTTATAATTATTTGCATTAATGACAATGAATAGATGAGAAACAAGTATGTCGGACTCTGTTCCTGTTGATGACTAATTGTAGTCATTTGAAGAATTTGGTCCCTTTTCCAATACCTTGTTTGTCATCATAATATTATTATTATCCTGCAATCCTACTTCCTACTAATATTATAAATGCAAAACTTTGGATGTATGTTTGTCTGGATGTTTGTTACTCTTTCACGCATGAACTGCTGAATGGATTTTGATGAAACTTTACAGTATTATTGTTTATAACCCAGAATAACACATAAGCTATAATTTATGACGATATGTGACAAACTAAATTTCACGCGGGTGAAGCCGCGGGCAAAAGCTAGTTAAGCCTTAATCACTTACCTGCTATTTAATATTTTCTTCCATTGGTTGTGAATATTGCGTGCGCGTGTCGCGATAGTCTAGTTGCAATTGCGATTTACCACTGTAATTTAAAAGCGCCCTAAGACTTACTCTATCCCTAGCTATTTGTTAGCTTTAGCACAGGAGCAAATTAACAGGGAGCAATACCTAAATTCACCCGTCAATTATATCCTAAAGGATCCCAGGCATTAACTTTGTATTATATGTTTTATTTTTTTTATATAAATCAATAAATAAATAAAGGAAGGAAGGCAGGAAGCACATCTCATGTGAGATAAAGAAAAATGTTTGGAGGCGTATACCAGCACGCACAACAGACGCGAGACTTTTTTAAAAATCTTATTATATTGTTAAAATTAACCTAATAAAAGCATTCGCTACACGAAATTTTCAAACGAACTGTAAATTATTAATAATAATTAAAACG